CGCAGCAGCTCCTGCTTCTTGGCACGGTTGTGCGCGCTGAGGGCCTTCAGCTCGGCCTGCCTCTTGCGCAGCTCGGCCAGCACCTCGTCCTCCGAGTCCTCGGCCGGCCGGTCCTCCGACTCCAGCAGGCCCTGGGCAACCAGCTCCTCCTTGATCCGCCCCTCCAGCGACTTGGTGTGGGGGACGCTGCCGGGGCGGAGAGCGGCTGCTGCCCACCACGCGCCCTTTGCTCCCCCCGGCTCGCCGGGGCAGGGAAGCCACCGCACGTTTGGCCTGCGGGCAGCGCCGGGCTCCGGGGCCGCCTCAGTTGCTCACCTGAAGGGCTTGTTCTGGCTGCGGGGAGACGTGCCGGCGCCGTCGGCTCCCGAGTCCTTGCCAGCGATCTCGGGAATGGGGGAGTCCTCGACGGGGGAGATGATGTTCTCCTAGCGACAGGAGCACGAGGGAAGGGTCACTGCGCCGGGCCATGGCGACGCTGCCCCACAGGGCCAGGTCATGGCACGGCCCCACAGAGCCCGGCCACCGCACAGCCCCACAGAGCCCACCCCACTCACCTCCACGAGGGCCTGCAGGAGACGCTGCGTCAGGGGCCCGAAGGGACACCCGTCCTCCGGCTGCTCGTGCTGGGCCTCCGACTTCTTCAGCAGGGCATCGACGTCTGGGAAGAAGCGGGAGGGGGAAAAAACCAACCCCAAACACGCAGAGGTAAGCAGCAGGGCAGGGCAGCCTCTACCCCGGGGGTGCGGGGCGAGGGGCCAGGGCTCGGCTCCACTGGGCGCGGGTGCTCGCAGCCCCTCCAGGCCCTTCACACCAGGCAAAGGCGGGTGGGGACGGAGGCACCTTTGGTGTCCAGCTCGGTCAGCGGCCCCAGGACGCCTTTCTTCTTGTCAGCGGCAGCCGCCGCCCGGGCTCCGTCCTTCTGCTCCTCCAGCAGGTCCTCCTGGGCCCAGCGCTGGGAGTAATGCTTCCCCAGGGGCGGGATCTGCAAGAGCAGGGCTCGGCACAGCTCCCGGAGCCCCCCCAGCCTCGCCTCCCGCCTCGCCAGCACCATGGCACCATCCCCAGGCGGGAACGCTCGCTGTGAGGCGCGGGAGGGGATGGGGCAGCCGAGGGCCGGGAGGGAATGGGGAGAGAGGGTAGAGGATGGGCGAGGGAGGCACCGGGTGGGCTCGGGAGTTTTTCACCTTGTAATGCTCAGCCTCATCCTCCGGCGGCTTGAGCAGCTCCTCCAGGACTCTGACCTCCTCGTTGGTGAGGTCGGCACAGTACGGCTCCACCGACGCCCAGAACCTGCAAGGACGGATGAACTGTGAGGGAGAGCTGGAGGGGACCCCGCCGGAGCTGACGTGCCCCCCCCCCCCCCGCGTCACCTCTTCCCTCGGGCTGGAGGCAGCCCTCGTGCCAGGTGCTGCAAGGAAGGAGACGGATGATCCCAACGCCCCCCAACACCCACGCACCTGTTCGGAGCATCATTTTTGGGAATGCGGGGCACGTCAATGGGATCATCCTGGAACTCGTATTCCTGGATCTTGGGCTGCAGGTTCTTGGACTTGGGCCGGCCGGGGCCAGGCCCGGTCCCGTGGCCCCCCTTGCCCTCCAGCTTCTGCTTCTTGGGCTTCCCGTGCTTGACAGAGGTGCCCACATCGTGGTCCTTGCTCAGCTTCAGGAACCGCCGGTCGCCCTTCTTGTCCTGCCAGTCCGTCAGGATCTGGGGGAGAGCGATGCCTCGTCAGGTCCCGCACCCGGCGCTGGGCAGGGACGGACCGGAGGCAGCCCCTCAGCGGGAAGGAGCGGGATGGGGAGCCACCCTACAGCTGCGGTCCCGGCACCTGGGTCTCGGCCTCCAGGACGCGGAGGCGGCGGCTGGCGGAGGAGAGCAGCGTCTCCAGCTCCAGCTGCAGCGTGTCCAGCTCCTCGATGCCGATGCCGTCGTCCTCCGAGCGGGCCAGCACGGCCGTGTACCGGGGGCACACCTTCACGTGGTCCACCGACTTGAAGTCGTGGAACTGCAGCGGGCAGTCCTTCAGCTCGCTCATGGCGGCGG